TCATGCAATTCCTCTACAACAAAATAAGGGCAGGCATTCTTCCTGACTTATTGATGACAACATTGAAGCTCTGAAGAGTTAGGATGTTTTCCTAGGGTAGATCAATGCGTAAATTCTGGTTTTGTTTACTTCATATTTTTCTTTATATTATATGGTACCCATGGATTTAGATCTAACAGATAATGTGATATTTTGGTTTTTCTATATGATACCCACAAAGCACTCTTTTGATACCTTAGTAAACAAATGAAGAAAATGGTGTTACTAGATTAAGTCACTGCCCATATGAACAAGTCATATATTTTCTTTTTATGGGAGAAATGTGTTAATTCAATAGGCATTAAGTGACTTTTATGCAGTCATCCCTGTAATATCAAGAGCTAGTGGGGACTTGCAGGTCCTGTGTACATCCTTCTCATCCTGCAGGAATTTTCAGTGAACCTGAGGAAAGATGATAGGTACTCACCATTCTGGATAGCAGGCCTATTGAGTTGGCTTTCTGATTTGGGAGTGTTCCAGGTGAGGCGGAACATCAACTAGAGGTGGTTTTTTTTTTAAGGTTATTTATTCATTTGAAAGTCAGAGTTACAGAGAGAGATCTTCCATCCTCAGGTTCACTCCCCAAATGGCCGAAATGGCTGGATCTGGGCCTATCTGAAGTCAGGAGCCAGGAGCTTCTTTTGGGTAACCCATGTGGGTGCAGGGACCCAAGCCCTTGGGCTATCTTCTGCTTTCCCAGGCCATTAGCAGAGAGCTGGGTCAGACGTGGAGCAGCTGGGACTTGAAGCGGTGCCCATTTGGGATGATGGCTCTGCAGAAGGTGGCTTTCCCATTATGCCACAGTGCTGGCCTCCAACTAGATTTTTAATGATTGATGAGACTGTGAGTTGCAGAGAGTTTAGGTGAGGGATGGCGGACACTAGGAAGGTCATTTAAGTGGCGTGATGCTCCTCTGAGGAAACAGAGGTGAATTTGGGCAGGTGGGTGGGAAGAACATAGGGAAATTCAAATGATGCCAAGTCAAGGTGCAGAGCTGGGATTTGATCCTGTAGACACTGTGGACCCGTGAAGAACACTTATGCCTTGCTCATTTCTGCTGGCAGAGTCACGCCACAAACCAGAGGCTTACCGTCATGACACGAGAATGTGTTAGGACCCTGTGGTGTGGTTGAGAGACTGGAGAACCAACCCAGCGTTTATTTAGTTATTTTTTTCTGAGGTTTTATAGAGTGCTTCTAGTATACTTTATATTTTGGTGAATGGTGACATCACCAAAGTGACAGTTGATTCTCTTGACTGTTGGTGCAGCCTCTTTTGTGTGGAGACAGCTTGGAGGCTGAGAGATTGTTTTTAGGTTGATGGCTCTTTGTCATTGGTTGTGGGGCCAGGTTTGGAGACTGTCGAACACCGCAGCCCACTTTTTTGCCCCTACCTTCTCCTGGAGATCCTCGAGGCCCAAGCTTTGTATTAACCATGTTACGTGCATTGTATTTTACAAATGAGAAATCCAAATGTGGGAGTTTTTAAGGTAATTTGTTTCAGTTCACACAAATAGTGATGGCTGAGGTGCTACCTCAGGTGGAGACCCTGTTTGCCCTTCATGGTACTGTGGTGTTGTGGCTGCTTGATTCTACTCTACTAGAAAATGTTAGGAGGCAATGACTGCGAAGATTTAAAATAGGTTTTTTGGGTAGATTTTCTGGTGTGTGGATTTAGTCAGTTACTAAATGTTACTAAAAAAGGTATTTTTGCCACTAACTGCAGGGTGAAAGATGTTAGAAAGGTAGCTGCATGTCAATGCTTTCTTAAACCACAGCCATGTCCATGTCACCTGTTAAATGACCTAAATCAAGTTAATCATGTATAACCTTTGAATAGGTTAACTTAACTATTCTCCAACAACTGGGAAATTCACTGTTTTTTAAAAAATATTAAGAGATTGTTTATGGCAGAATGCACACAGCATTTAACATCTTACGTTTTTTATTTTTTTTTATTTTTTGACAGGCAGAGTGGACAGTGAGAGAGAGAGACAAAGAGAAAGGTCTTCCTTTTGCCATTGGTTCACCGTCCAATGGCTGCCGTGGCTGGCACGCTGCGGCCGGCGCACCGCGCTGATCCGAAGGCAGGAACCAGGTGCTTCTCCTGGTCTCCCATGGGGTGCAGGGCCCAACTACTTGGGCCATCCTCCACTGCACTCCCTGGCCACAGCAGAGAGCTGGCCTGGAAGAGGGGCAACCAGGACAGAATCCGGCATCCCGACTGGGACTAGAACCCGATGTGCTGGCGCCACTAGGCGGAGGATTAGCCTGTTGAGCCACGGCACCAGCTTGATATTCTTCATTTTTAAGGATTGTTTGTTCATTTGAAAGGCTGAGTGACAAGGAGAAGAAGAGACTTCTTTCATTCACTACTTCACTCCCCAAATGTCCACAATGGCCAGGGCTGGGTCAGGCTGAAGCCAGTAGCCCAGATTTCCATTTGGACCTTGCTTGTGGGTGGCAGGGGCCCAATTATTTGGGCTGTTTTCTGCTGCTTTCACAGACACATTAGCAGAAAGCTGGATTAAACGCTGGCACTATGGCTTCTGGCTTCTGGCTTTGGCCTGGCCCAACCCTTGCCATTGTGGCCATTTGGTGAGTGAACCAGCAGATGGAAGAGCTCTTTGTCTTTCTTTTTGTAACTCTGACTTTCAAATAAATGAATAAATCTTAAAAAGCAAGCAAGCAACTGGCTTGACAGCGGAGCTGCTGGGACAGCACAAGTGGCTGCTTAGTCCGCTTTGTCACAACGCCAGCCCCAGCACTTACTACTTTTTTGTGGCAGCCATCCTAAAGGATGTGAAATGGTATGATGAATGATACTGAGTGCCTTTTCTTGTGCTTGTTGGTCATTTCTGTATCTTCTTTGGAACAACATCTGTTGAAGGTCTTTGCCCATTTTTGAACTGGGTATTTGTTTTTTTGTTGTTGACTTGTGTGGGCTCTTCAAAAATTCTAAATATTAAATTCTTATCAGATATGACTTATAAGTATTTTCTCCTACTGCATAGGTTACTTTTTCACTCTTTAGAGGATGTCCTTTAATGCACAGAAGTTCTTAATGTATCACTTTTTGCTTTTGTTGCCTGTGATCTTGTCATATTCAAGAAATCATTGCCAAATTCAGTGCCAGGAAGCTTTTCCTCTGTTCTGAGCATTTTATATTTTTAGGTCTTACATTTAGGTCTTTGATTCATTTTTTAAATTAATTTTTGTATACAGTGTAATGATTTACTGAGCTGTCATGAAAGAAAATCTCAAATGAAATTCCATCCAACACATAGACATTTTATGTTACGTGATCAATGTTAGTATGCATGGGATACCTATGAGGTCAGGGCATGTCTGGTTCACCACCTGAGTAGATGCTTGACTACAGCTTGCAAGTGAGATTCATGTAATGCAGCCATGAATGAGGCAGGATTCTGAGCCCCGTCATTGGCAACAGGCAAGGAGATGTCCTCCAAAACTACAGGCTGGATGAGCACCATCAGGGCACAATGGCCTTGACACCTTCCATTGCCTGAATCTTCAGCTATTCAAGTATGGGGTATTCTTTGACATTTTAGCCGATTCATTTATATCAAATTACTTCAGTTTCTCCAGTGAGATATCATATCTAACATTCATCAGGTTAGTAAAATAAACTACTAATTTCACTGATGAAAAGCTATTCCTGATGTTCAGTAAGCTAAATAGTGAAGCTTCAGTGTTGATCACATATGAGTAGCTGAAATGCTTAGCCACTTCTGAAATGTAGCCTTTTGTTGATAATACCCTAGCTCACCCCACAAACTAAATGTTTATTTATGGCCAAAATTGAAACTAACTGATCCATACATTTGTATAAAAAAGGAATTCTGTTTTATTTATTTGAAAGAGTTACAGAGAGAGATAGAGACATAGCGAGAGAGAGGGAGAGAGAGAAGGGGCTTCCATCTGCTGGTTCATTCCTCAAATGGCTGCAGTGGCTAGAGCTGAGCCAATCCAAAGTCAGGAACTAGGAGCTTCTTTGCGGGGGGCAAGGGGCGTGGGGAGAGCCCACGTGGGTGCAGGGCCCAAGCAATTGGACCATCTTCCACTGCTTTCCCAGGAACATTAGCAGGGAGCTGGATTGGAAGTAGAGCAGCCAAGACTCGAACTAGTACACATATGAGATGCCAGCACTGCAGGCAGGGCTTTAACCTGCTGTGCCACAGCACTGGCCCCAATCCATAAATTTTTATATTACTGTTATTGTAATAGCCCATGTTATACATTTTTAAATTAATTAAGCAAATTACAGAGACAGCAGCAATTTGCCATTGGTTAAATCATGCATTTTGCAGCTCAACCTGGTGATTATAGTATTTGTGTAGTGTGTGTGTTTGTATGTGTGTGTGTTTAGTTTTCATTTCACTTCTAGGATTCTCTTGTTCCCTTTGCTTTACTGATGTTGATCAAAAAGTGCTAGGGAGATGTACATGAATAGAAAAATGTCACAAAGACAATACGCAGCATAGATATCTTGAGTGTATGTACTGTAAAAAAGTTAAACATATTGTTATTCTGAAATACTAATGAGCAGTTTTCCTTGAGGCAGCTTCCTTTGAGAGATTTCTAGTTTATCTCTGGGTGCTAGGTGTAGTTCCGAGCCTTCTTCTCATTCTGTCCAGATTCTTAGTCGGCAGTTGGCAAGGCCTTTCTTTGCCAGAAGATCCTCATCCATTTTTTTTATTCTTGTGAGGTTCATTTACTTTGTCAAGATTTCTTTCCTAATTAGTTTCTAGTTTGGACCCAAGATAAATCAGTTGCCTGGGTCTTTTGTTGTTGAAGGCAAGGACGCTATTGCCGTCCCAATGTTTTATATATGTGTGTATGTCTATGGGACTTATATAGACATGATTTTGCAGTGTATCAGTCCAGGTTTATTTTGTGATTGAATTAATAGCATTTAACTATTTTCTGTTTTAAATATAGCAAGATCAACTTTACACCTGGGCTGCCGTTAGTCAACCCACACACTCGCTGGATTACACAGAAGGGCAGTTTCCCAGGAGAGTCCCGTCTGTGTGGCCATCATCAAAACCTCCTCATGAAGAGCACAGGTCGAAGAAGGCCGAAACAGGTAGGACGTGGGAACGGCGATGCTCTGAACTTGGGCAGCATAATGTATCTCTGCAGTACGCACTGGGTAGTGAGTGTGCACTTGTTTTCTAAGTGTTTTTTAGTGTAGAATTTGCAAATGACTTAAAATCACTGGAGGCTTGTTAAGTTGAAGATTCTTCTGCCACATATTCAAGGGAGCCAAGTTAGAGTGTTGGAGGACAAGATACTGAAATTCTCCAGTAATTACTCTGTACACTGAAGGGTTTTTTAATTCATGTTTAATTTTAATTTTAATTAATTGTTAACAGACTCAATATGATTTATACATACAAGTCTAAGAACATAGTGATATTTCCTTTCTTCCACCCTCCTTCATTCTACCTTTGTTTCTTTTTCTTTTTAGTTTTTGAGACAACATGTTTTAAATTTACATTACAGTAAAAGTCTTAATACTTCACCAAATAAGAAGTTTCACATGTGAAAAGCAGAAACGCCCTAGTTTAGGGGGAATATACACAATAGCTAGAAACAATAATTGATCGGATGTACATTGAAGTTTAAGAGCCACTTCCCTAAGGTATCCAGCTGGAGCCAGCCCTAGAGGTCAGAGGTTGACATTGCATTTGGGATGAGTTGGACCCAAAGAGGCATTTCTGACTACTGTCTTCAAAGAGAATGATGGTCACGCCGTCTCTTTTCTGTCAGTCTCTTCACTGACTGCTTTCTTTGTATTTTTCTTATTCCTTTTCTTTTGGAGATACCTGAGAGAGAAAAGATAGAGATATGTTTTATTAAATCTCAGTTTTATGTAGTTATTAATGGATTATGCAGTATTCAGATGTAAGTATTTTTTCTTTAAACTTTTGCTTTTGGTTCTTTTATCTCTTTGTTCCTTTTGTTGTCTTGAAGTATTTTGTGGTCTTGCCTGGGAAGATAGTGTGAGGTTAGCCTCAACTTCATTTGGAGGAATTTCAGTAGGATATTGATCCCTAAGCCCGATTTTAGGAAAATACCCTGTCACCAAAGTTGAGCATCATATCTGTGTAACAATGCTTCATGAAATTTTGTTGTTTTATCCTTTGTTCTTCATTTTGTGTTGTAAATTCCAACTTTCTCTGGATAGACTAGGACTATTGACTTCTGATGCATGAATGACAACTGAATAGAAGGGAAGAATGGCTATTTGTAATTTTCATCCTGACAGCATATTCCTAAGTGGTAGCATGGGTATTAGAGTTAAGAATTTTGATTTTTTTTTCCTCATTGGCTCACAAGAGAAAATACTCCTAAGAAAAGTAAACTGGATTGGTAGCAAGAGAGCTGAACCCAAGAGTGTGCAGCTTGGACTCTTTTTTTTTTTTTTACCAGCTTTGTGATCTCAGACACATTTCCTACCACTGTACTCAGTTTCTTCATCTCAAAAATGATGATGAGAATAGCAGCCACTACACAGGGCTGTTTTGAGGATTATATGTGTTTGTGTGAACCACTAGAATACTGCACTACCTGGCTTAGTGTTTACTGTTATAATTATTATTGCAATTATTTCATGTTGTTGCATTCCTCATGAGTTCTCTTTAAAACTGTATAGTCTTGTTCTTGTCCCTTGTCTGATATTTTTGCTGATTCACTGCCCAGATGGCTGCAATGGCCAGGACTGAGCCAGGTTGAGGCCAGAAGCTTCATCAGGTCCCTTTGGGTGGTAAGGACCCAAACATTTGGGCCATCTTCTACTTTGCCAAGGTCATTAACAAGGAGCTGAATTGGAAGTGGAGTAGCCAGGACAAGAACTGGTGCCAATATGGGATGCCAGTGTTGCAGGTGGTGGCTTTACCCTCCATGCCACAAGGCTTTCCACCATCCCCCCAACCCCACACCACATGTCCAAAATTCTGCAATAAGGAACCCAGCTAGCTTCCTGCTTTTAACCCCATCTCTGGAGGGATGTGTTTAGGAAGTATTCCTCCTCTTTCCTCTTTTCACCAGTGTACTGAATGGGAACTTTGACCTCAAATGTCTCTTTTTTCAGTATCCAGTGGTTTTAAAATACTACTTAGTATTCCTTGAAATAATCAACAAATAAGAGATGAAATATAGGAAATGTTCCTTGTAGGACCCCCTTGTCACATTAAGGCTCAGCAGTTAATCAAGGGCCAAGATGGAGTCTCCTAAAGCAGTGATCTGCAGAGATGTGGGGACTCCAGCATGGTAGTACCAGAATGAATGAAAGTATTTTTAGTCTTGAAAGGAAAAATACGCAACTGAAAATACTGATCCCATTAGAAGAATTTATCAATTTTATTGAGATAATTATAACTTAAATTTTATCCTATATCCTTGATTAGGGTGATATTTACATTTTTTATATGTTTATTTTCCTAACTGAAATGTTTACATTCTAAAATTTTAGGATACTTTTAAAAAGTTATGGAACATTTTGTCACTGTTATGCATATTGGAGGAGCACTTGACAGGAAGATAATTAAAAATGGAAATCTGAATTTGAATTTTACTTTGGTAAAAGTTGATAGTTGGAATTGAGACCATAAAGTTTGTAATCTAAATTTTTCTTCATTATTTGATGTCACTTGCACAATATCAGAGCAAGTAATTTTTAATACAGTGACTTGTCTCCTTTTAAACTATGCATTCTTGAAGAGGATAATGAAGGTAAGTAGAAGGTAATTTAGCTTCATGGCTTGTTTTCCTCCAGTTGATCTGTTTTATAAGCCCCCCAAAGCTGTAGAGCATTCTTTTGTTCAAAGTGATCTAATGATGCTTCCCGAACTTTTCCTGTTGTAGCAGGAAGACTGTTTGGAAGACTCTCCCTTTGGGTAGTTTCATTCCCAAGGAGACTCACCACTTTCTCTCTTCAAGTTGGACAGTCGTAAGAGAGAAATTCCAATATATGAGAGAAAGCATTGCGGAGAATCTATTGCTGTGTTTATATCACTTGCACACTTTGATAATGCCATTAGTATTTGCTGTGTAATTAACAGAGGTTTACATGTTACTGTGTAGTGACATCCTGGTTAAGCCGACTACATGCAGTATTGACCCCTTTCAATTTTGATTTACATAGAAGAGTTCCATGACTCTTTTTTGTTTTTTAAGAAGTAAAACTTGCAGATCCATCTTAGAAAATTGAGAACTTGGTGGTTTTTTGTGTTTTTTTTTTTTTTTTTGCCTTTTTATACCTTCCAGCTCTTCTTAAAATTGGTTACTAATTTACATGTGTAGCTATTCTTATTTGTGCTGGTGCTTCTTCTGCCTTTCTCATGTATCTTACTTTAACTTTTCTGTGATCCCTTCTGTTAGAGGTTTCTCTTCATCCGCATATGTAGAGGAAGGACCTGACCATTCTTTATACACATTTGCTGAGGTGAAGTCTTGGTGCCTCTCCCCATTAGTGACTTGCAGAAGGGCTGCGGTTCCTGTGAATTCTTGGCTCCCATAATGGCCTGTGTGTAGTTAAGCACTGGCTTTTTAGATGAGCTGAAGGTGTTAAACTTGACCTTTTCAAGACTATAGCCTGACTGAAAAGGAAATTAGAATGCAATTTGCTTTAAAACTTGGTGACAGAAGCACTGACAAGAAGAAATGCTTTCTGGTTATCTTGTTTATTCTTTATCTTCACTCTTCATTTCCTCTGACTTACTTGCTACACCCACCCTCCCACACCCATGGTGGTTCTCTTTGTTGGACTATCACATTTTATTCAGATCTCTATCATCTCAATTAGTTATGTATCATAATTTATCTATTTTTATATACACATGTCTTCCATGTAGACTTCTGGTATTTTGAGATTTCTTGGGGTATTGTATATAGTTCAGTGTTTGAATGAATGAATAATGACTTTTGTTGGGAAAGACATAAATGAATAAAATGTCAACTGAACAAATGAATGCAAGATTTGTGGGAATTTTTTGTGTGTGATAAACTAGTTTTTGGACCATTTTATAGCCTCGGTGTCAAGTTTCAAATGCCATTTATCAGATTTACACAAAACTAATAAGACAATTAATTTGAACTTTCAAATTCATGTAGAACAGAAGCAGGGTGTGAAGATGTGAACAGGAAATTAACCCTTCTTACTTCATTTCTGGAAAATCAAGTCCAATATGTTTCTTTGAAAATGTGAATGGCCAAGAAATAATGGAGTATTGATTTTAGAAGAAAACTTGAGCTGGATCATAAGTGGAGCATCTGGGACTCCAACCAGCACCCATAAGGATGCAGGCACTACAGGTGGCGGCTTTACGTGCTGTGCCCAGCGCCAGCCCTGACAGTGTAGTTTGGCAGTATGTTATACCAGTTAATCACCAAATGCCTTTCATTTTTCAGTAGCATTGCAACATGCATCAGCTGCAATGCCGCTAAATTTGGATTGTGAAAATGATTGTTGAGAATGACTGCTGTATCTTCTGCCTGGTGTCTGACCCGTGTGCCAATCAGGAGGAGCAAAGTGATGGGTTGGGTTTGGGATAATGTTGAGAATGACTGCTGTATCTTCTGCCTGGTGTCTGACCCGTGTGCCAATCAGGAGGAGCAAAGTGATGGGTTGGGTTTGGGATAAGGGAGCAATGTGATTGAAGCATTAATTCTGTTCATCAGCTTGCCAACAACCACTTGGTTATGGGCCTTTGGTTTCTAACCTCTGAAATGAGGATAGACCGTATTAGCAATTTTCAGACTGGTCCATGGGACACTGGAGATTCCTGAAAGCCCTGTCATTTTTATTTTTATGTTTTTAAATTTGCAGACAAGGATCATTTAGGAGATAGCAAATCCTGGACTTCGTTATCTTTTTGATTTTCTCACTTGATAAACTTGTTTTCTTCCAGAATCTCTAATGACAGAGGCTAAAGGAACAAAATCCTTTCCTCGTTACTCAGAGCTATTGGTGACAGTGTTCATTACTGCTTGTTGAAGTCAGGAGGTAATTTTTCAACAATCAGCTAAAGCTTTTGGGATCCTATCTTTCAAGATTGAGAAAGTGGCTTCTATCACAGCAGAGATTTTAAGTGAATAATAAAATATGAGTAAGTGAGGGTCTTAGAAATTGCTGGCACAATCTAGAAACTAGGAATCCAGAAAAATAATTGCGGTCAATATGTATTAGGAGTAGTTCGATTTATGAAAATAACTAATGACACGAGTGTGTTCCATTTGATGTGTTGTGTATCCTGAAAAGTACTCATATCCTTATAACCCAGTAGTATAATTGAAAGACTGATATTTTTGAAATATATGGCTAAAAGTGTACTTTAGTGAAATTTTGTTTTCTGACTGAGCAAATGGGAAAAATTATTAAGTTATTGACCGTCTGCTTCCTTTCTAATCCAGAATCTCAATCTGCTGTTTTGGAACCCCTGAATAAGTGTCCAGATGCTGTCCAGCAGGTAAGAAGATCTTGTTAAAATTCAGAATCCCCATCTCTGTCATTTGTCTTGGAATCACGACAGGATCTGTGATTTATGCCCCCATCTGTCCAGCTGGAGAGGTGGCCCTTACTTCCCAAAGTCTGCAGGAGATCCAGTCACACAGAAGGGGAGAAGTGTTCTTTCATTTATGTTTTGCAAAGAAAATTAGCCTTGAAGTGGAACTGAAAACTGTATAGCTGTATCATGCTATATCCAGCCAAAGAGTAGGACCCAACAGCAGCTGTCTCCAGCAGGAAACTCTGGCCACTTCCAGAGAAGTCTGTGCCGAGATTTGCCTGGTCGAATAGTCCCCTTGACACAGTTAAGTGAAAATCTGTCATAGCTTTTCTGAAGTCAAATCAGATTTTAAGTTGCTCTGGTGAATGAAACATTAGTTCATGTATGTCTAGTTTCCATGGAGTCTTTTTTCTGTTACTTACAGAAGCCAAGTGCTGGTCTTTTTTTTTTTTTTCTTCTTCTTTCTTTTCTTGTACCAAGTTAGTATAAAAAATCTTTAAGAAATGAAATGATTGTATGCAATAGTAGTTGTGGATAGCAACTGTTCTTTCTGATATAAAATTATTTGTTTATTGTTATTATTTTTGTTTAAATTTTTCACAATCGTGATTTGATAAGATAACCATGCAATTCTATCCCTGAGTTGTTACTTGTTTTCTCAACCTCTTGTAGTTCTGGCCAACAAACAAATGCTACCAAACAATGGGAGACTTAACTGAGAAATATGTGGTGAACTTTTTCCTCCCTGATAAGGAAAGCTGCTCTACCCGCACCTACCTTCCGACTGTTGGACAAAATCATGAGGGGAGAGAGAGAGAGAAAATGAATCTTCTCTGGTTCCACGGAAGATAGGTCAAGATAGTAAGAATGAGTCCTTGATGCCATTTTCAAAGTCAACAATGAGACAAAGTTAAATAAAAGATTAATTAAAACTTAGATTCTGTAATTAAAGTGTTCTGAGTCCATAAAATAAGAAAATAAATGAGTAGAGAAGGTAGGAAAGAGGATGCTGAGAACTCACATATTCCAGGCTAGGAATATGGGCAAATGTTTTAAATTCTATGTCCCTCAAGGAAGTCCTACAAAAAAGGTTCAAAGTTATATTAGAGGTGGTTTTTCTGAAAGAAGTATATCTTCTCTAAACGAGGTTCTCATTGTAGTCTGTGGTATAAATTGCCTGAATGTTCTATAATTTGGAATTTTACTGGGTTGGAAAAGCCAACTTCTATGTCTAGAGTTAAAACAATCATCATCATAGAAGTGGAAGGTATAATATAAACAGTCAAAAACGAAACACAAAATGACAAGTCTCAGACTGCAATCATTTTTGAAGATATTTTCATTAATGTTCCTTAAGTTTTTAATTTTTTTTTTTTTTACTTATCTGAGAGGCAGCAACAAAGGGAAACTCCCACACATCCTGGTTCACACCCCAAATACCTGCAATGGCCAGGGCTGGGTTAGCACCTGAGCCAGCAGCCAGAAAGGCAGTCCTGCTTTCCAATGAGGGTGCAGGAATCCAATGATTTGAGCCATCATCGCTGCCTCCCTGAACTAGGCTAGAGTCAGGAGTCAGAACAGGGAAGGAAACCAGGCCCTCTGATGTGGAAGCTGGGTACTTTAACTGATAGGCTAAATACCCACTCCCGAAATGTTCTTAGACAAGAGGAATAAGTCCACCACAAAGACACAGTTATGCTTCGTGTCTCTGAAATAGAAATTATTATTTCAAATTACCTCAGGGTAGAAGAATGAACAGCCTCATTAAGGAGATTAGATTCTTTAGACTCAAAAACTTCTGTTTGTGGAAAAAATCTTTGATTATGATTATTAGGATATAGAATTCACTAGAAACTCAGAGGAAAACATTATGTTTTTGAGAGAATTGTGATTGTGACAAAAACATGAGGCCTGGTGGGATTTAGCAGGAAACTAACTCCTCAAGTAATCCCAGAACTTAGAAACTAAGCCAAATAGAACTGGATAACGCATACATTATTTCTCCTAGAAATTACCTTCTGCCACATACAGATCTCTGAATGACCAGGGAGGATCCTGGGAAAAGAGACTTCTCAAGAGCAGCAATATGTGCTGACAGACTAGACTGGCCAATTGGTGAATTTTTTACACAGCAATTCGTATTGGTAAGGTTGGGAATAAAGAGAAGTGAAAAATGCATTACCCTAGGCCAGGAAATTTAAGAGTGAGCTAAAATATTGAAAAAAAAAATAGGTTAAATAACATTTTAATGCAATTACAAAAAACTAAGTTAATGACAAAAAGATCCATGATGAATGAAATATCAAAATTGTAAATATAAACCAAGATTACTGGTGCCTCCTTTTGCCTCAGGTTCCCATGCAGCTCAGCACAGCACTGTTACAGTCATTTCCTCGTTTTTCCTTTCCTAAAACCTTTGTGGTGGATTTCTTCTTTTCCTCATCATTGTGTCTTGTGTGTGTTGGTGGAAGCCAACTTGGTCACCAAATATATAAAAAGCCAAACCCAGTCTTGCTTATCTCTAGAGACCTTGGGCCTTCAAGTGAAATGGAGAAATTGGATGAGATTGAGGTGGCCTCTCCACAGGCAGGGGTAAGTGTGTATGTATCACTGAACAGCAGCTTTTAAATGAAGCAGTAAATGGGAAGAGGAATATACAGATGGTGCCTAGAGAAGAGGAAGACATCGGTGCTTGTGTAAGGAGCAGCAACCTCTCCAGTCCTCACTATTAGTACATACACTCTTTGCTGTCTGTATAGTTTTTCCTTTTCTACCTTTCTAGTGGTTAGATGTGCTCATTGAAATGTAGGAAGTCTGGAGGGCAAGGGAGGGTGGGAGGAAGGGGTTGTTGAACAGTTTTCTTCCTGGTCAAAGGAAAGCTAGTTCCTTCCCAACCTCTAATGCTGCCTTTGAGGAAAGTTGCTGTCCGGGGCAGTAGCAGGTATTTTGGATCTTCAGGAAAAAAACCTGAAACTCAACAGGCTAGCGATTGTGAAGTACAGGGATGGAAGACTCTGGGTTCTTGCTGACTCTGTAGTAGATATTGCTGATGCCCAGTCCAGACTCTATATGTAAACAATGCGTCCATGTCTCAGTAGACATGAGGGGGATCCAGAACTGTGGGAGGAAAAAAGATGGGTATCAGTTACATCACTGGGACGCACTGTTCTCCTATAAGAAGTTTCTCCCAATATTATCATCATCGAGAATTCTGGAAACCATGGTCTAAATGGACAGAAGTTAATAGGAGAAGAGGGTAGATTTGAAAAGTCCGAAGAGCAGGAAAGAGTTAGACTCTGTTGGTGCCAGTCCAGGTCCCCAGTACCAGTACCATCCCTTTGCTACTCTTGAGTGCTGGCTGCTAACAGCTCACAACTATCCTCTTCTCCAAAAATCCTGTAGGCTCACCTGGAAATTGCCCTTGCTGCTGTCCTCACTCTCTTACAATTTTACCAGAGTGCATACCCTCACTAAACCACATGTACGAGATTGCTTTTTTAAAAAAATATGCGACTTAGTACCACATCACTCTATCCAGTTAATGTTAGGATCTTCTTCCTCTGAAATTCTTGTTAGGTCATCGATAGGAGACATAATGGTTAACACACTCTGGTTTTTCCTCATAAAAAGGTAGAGAGAAAAAATGTACTGAACACAGTTTACAGCTTTGTATTTCAAAAATCAGGAATATAGATTCTAAACAGCTTCTTCCTTATTATCTCATATAAATATGCATTACATTTAATTTCACTTTTCACATCCTTTCCACAACTATTTTACATAGTTATTAGTGATGCTTAAATTTGACATTATTTCATAAATTAAAAAGAAAGAAAACAGAGCCAAGTGCTGAATGGCTGCAGAAGCCAGGCATCTAACTTCTGCTCCATCCAGTCTTGAGTGATTTTTTTTTTTTTGACAGGCAGAGTGGACAGTGAGAGAGAGAGACAGAGAGAAAGGTCTTCCTTTGCCGTTGGTTCACCCTCCAATGGCCGCCGCGGCCGGCGCGCTGCGGCCGGCGCACCGCGCTGATCCGATGGCAGGAGCCAGGAGCCAGGTGCTTTTCGTGGTCTCCCATGGGGTGCAGGGCCCAAGCACCTGGGCCATCCTCCACTGCACTCCCTGGCCACAGCAGAGAGCTGGCCTGGAAGAGGGGAAACCGGGACAGAATCCGGCGCCCCATCCGGGACTAGAACCCCGTGTGCCGGCGCCGCAGGCGGAGGATTAGCCTAGTGAGCCGCGGCACCGGCCGTCTTGAGTGAATTTTAACCTCATCATCTTTGTGGCTTTATAAATGTAGCACCACTAGTAGAGTACTAGTTTCCCATTGCTGCCATAGCAAATTACAGCAAATGAGTGAGTAGCTTAAAATGATAAAGATTTATTGTTTCAGAGTTCGGGATGTTAGATATCTGAAATGGGTTTTTGGGGCTGAAATCAAGTTTCAGCAAGGCCACATTCTTATCTGGTCCAGAGGAAAATTTGCTTTCTTATCATTTCCAGATTCTAGAGGCAGCCCTCAGTCCCTGGTTCATGGCCTCTGTTTACCTTCAAAGTCATCAATGAATGATCAGTCTTTCTCATGATGCTCTCTCTCTGGTTCTGGCTCCTCTGCCTCCTTCCTCTACTTGAAAGAACCCTTATGTGAGGCCCATCAAGATAATCTAGGATAATTTCTATATTTTAAGCCCAGCTGATTAACTGCCTTCATTTCCCCCTCAGCCTCGTTCCCCATTACCAAAGCTACTCCCAGGACCCAGAGTTCAGGACACAGACAGCTTTGTGGGTCCTCTGCTCTGTCCTTGCAGGGGCTGAAACCAAGAACATCAACCTTTGAGTCTGCAAATGGTGCAGTGGCTTGGTCACATTTTCCAAGTGTCTTCCTCTTAAAATGATATTCAGTGTATTTAGACCTCTATTTTCCTCTTTCTATCAAGTCAAACTCTGATATTCATTAAATTAAACCTTTAAAAAACCAACTCCAAAAGTATAGACTGATACTTCATATCTTCTCATCTCCCAACATCCTGAACAAATAGTCCTCTTTTGCACTGGTTCATTAAATTTATAATCAGTGCCTAGAATACACAAAATCATGTGGAAGTATAGAGGAAAAGCATTATAAGAAGCATCAAGATTGATTTTCTGGGCTTAGTTGAGTGTTGAAAAACCACGTAAATTTTGTACCAAAAGAGTTCTCACACAAGCTACCTGTCATTGGTTACAAAGTGGCTGCAAGAGAATTTTAGTATATTCTATGAACTGAAATTTGTGTATTTGTGTCTTCATTTTTACTTAGTTCTTACTTATCAGTATATTAAGCAAGAAAGGTGTTTCAAGCTGCAGACAAAACATTGCAAAGGAAGCATTCTTCAACTACTGAGTCTTTTATCCACAACACAGCCCTCTGTATATTAATTTCTTACTAGTTTTGTCTTTAGAATGTTTTATCAATATCTTTTTGCCACTGAACAAACTACATTACAGACTCAGCAAATCTCAATGGACCTTCCACAGGTCATTCTGAATGGTTTTGACAACTCACTTTGAGAGGATCCATTCAGGTAGAAAGAAAATGTCTTTTCTGGCACAGGGTATGTCCAGAAACTCCATACGAGATCTCTTCAGCTTCCAAAGATTCTTTGTGTGACATAAGAAGGAAAGAAAGAAATGCTTTCACATCTTCATGTCTTCTTTTGTCTCTCAGTTGCAAACAATCTTAAACATTTTGAGTAATATGTGTTGACAGTTAATGCACACCTGTATACTTAGGGAGTTTTCAATGAAAGCCAGTGAGCTCTCCAGAGGGTGAGGTTTGAGGCATTGATGTTCCATTTGCAGCAAGAAGGAGCTTATGGGGCCTACAAGTCTTTACCTTCACTTTGACTCTCTTTTTAAAACTAGAGAATGTATTGGAATGTATAAATATTATTTTAATTCATATATGTATTTAAGATGAAGGATGAAACTTCAACTTCCTTTAGAGCTAGAAAAACTTTGTGGTACATTCTGTATGCTTGAAGAAAGCAATATTTTTTTTTTTCTGTTTTGTAGACATTGTATTTCCAAGTGATGCATTGATGATAAAATTAATGATGGTGGTAAAACTTGAAGGCTGGGACTGGTGTTGTGGTGTAGCAGGTTGAAATGCTGCCTGCAATCCCTGTATCTCTAATAGGCACTGGTTCAAGTCCTGGCTGCTCCACTTCTGATGCAGCTCCCTGTTAATGGCTTGGGAAAAGCACCAGAAGATGGCCCAAGGACTTGGGTCCCTGCCACCCAAGTGGGAGACTCAGGTGGAGCTCCTGGCTTTTGGCTTCAGCCTGGCTTAGCTCTGGTCATTGTGGCCACTTGGGGAGTAAAACAGTGGATGGAAGATCTCTCTTTCTCTCTCTCTCTCTCCTCTCTGTTAACTCTGACTTTCATATAAATAAATCTTAAAAAAATTCCTTGAAAGCTACATAACTACATTTTTAGGGGATACACAATTACCCCCTATCAAAGAGCTCTGGGAATTGTGCCCTGATTATCAGAACAACGCTGGTAAGAGCAAGGGTTTTATATATATAGCTTCCAAAGATTCTCTCTGTGACATAAGAAGGAAAGAAAGAAATGCTTTCATGTCTTCATGTCTTCTTTTGTCTCTCAGTTGCAAACAATCTTAAACATTTTGAGTAATATGTGTTGACAGTTAATGCACACCCATATACTTAGGGAGTTTTCAATGAAAGCCATTTTTATATATATATAAATTTATATATATAAATTATTTATATTTGTTATATAAATATTATATATAAATATATATATTTTATATGTGTGTGTATATATGTTTAGGGTTAGGGTTTTATATATAATATATATTGTATAATACATTATCTTATAAATATTATTTTTATATAATATATTATTGATATATATTATCAAGGATGTAGGGGTTTGGATTATTTACATAGAACATATAATTTCATGGAACTTCAAAGTCTTAAAGCAGAACTGATGCCCTATTTAAGGTACTTGGTATTGTAGTGTTTAGGTTTTTATATGTCCTGTTAGGTTCTTCCTTCAAGTTTCTGATTTAGTTTACTAACTGAGAAATGCTTGCGCAACTTGGATTTCCTCATTCTTTCACTCTCCCAGTAAGTCTTCATTGACTGTCAGCTGCAGGAGGCTTCCTGCTAAGGCAGCTGTCTTACCTACAGCATTTCTGACATTTTGGGCTGAATTTTTCTTGGTATATGTGTTTGCCAGAGGGCTTTTCTGTGCAGTATGTTTATCAGCATCCCTTCCACCCATTGTGGCAACCAAAAATGTCTCCAGGAAGAGCTAAACGTCCTGTGGGGAACGGAATAATCCCTAATTGAGAAGTGCTGATGATAATGGCAAGGGGGAATGGATACTGGTGGTGGGGTAAGTGGACAAATAAATGGGAAGAAGAGATATGCAGGAGATGATGGATTAAATTTCAAAAAGGTTGGATCTGACCAGGGGCATGGTATTCTCTCTAAAGTGGGTTCAGGGTCTGGAATGTAGCAGTGAGGTCATGACTGACAGGTGGTTTTGGGATGCAGCAGCTAGGAATTGACACCAGGGCTGAAGAGGTTTTTTTTTTTTTTTTTTTTTTTTTTTTGTAAGATCATCCACTTGATGTATAAAAAGATGAACTGAATAACCAGAATGCAATGGAGTTGCTCTGTTAGAAATTCTAACGCATTCCACCAAGGTTATACAAAAAAGAAAAAAAGTTCCATATATTTCATAGTCAATTAAGAGAGTTCTGGATGAAGAGAGTAGAAAGAAGAAAAAGCAATGATAGGTAATTCAGAGAAACAGAGAGAGAAAAGTGAAGAAAAGGAGGATGGTTCATTTAGTGTTTATTGAGTACCACCGATCATTACATGATTTTAACTTCAAAAAAGCTTGGAAATTCACGTATTCTTGCAAACCGCTTTTTTCTCTACTGGTTTAGCATGAAGATGTTCCAACATATAGAAAAGTTTAAAGGTTTTACCAGTGCATATCCATAAATCTACCACATTAATAATGGATTTAACATTTTTTGTTTCATCACTTGTCTGAACATGCTTCAAAACATCTTATTTTTGATGCATTTTACAGTAAATTGCCGAGATCCATATACCTCATTAAACTATGTCAGCAAATGCATTATGAACTTAGAGGCCATTTATTTAAAGTTTTCCAACATACTTTTGCTCATTTTATTTTTAAAAACTGTAGGGAGGGAGGGAGGAAGGAGATATCATTGTATTCTTTAGAACTGTATCTATGAACCATATTGATTCTGTTAAAAACTAAAGATTAAAAAAAAGCAAAAAAAAAAAAACCTGCATTGAATTGTCTCTGCTGTAAAATGAGAGCTACTGAATAAGTTCATACACAGTTTTTGTGATCTTTGATTCTAATTATGTGAGTTTTGCAATAATTACAAAAGGCTAGATTTTCTTTTCTGAATCCTGGCACTTAGGATCTGGCTGGACACAAATTAGGGTGTCTACATATTTGTGAAATGCACTTTTTTTTTTTAAAGAAAAGATCAATTTATTATTTATTTAAAAGGCAGAGTTATGGAGATAGGGAGAGACAGAAAGAGATCTCCCATCTACTGGTTCACTCCCGAAAGATATTATCCATCTTCTGGTTCACTCCAAAATGGCTGAAATGGCTAGAGCTGGGCAAGATAGAAGCCAGGAGGCTGCAGGTCTTCCTTGTGGGTGCAGGGACCCAAGCACTTGGGTCATCTTCCTCTGCTTTCCTCAGGGGCATTAGCAGGGAGCTGGATAGGAACCAGTGCTCATATGGGATGCTAGTGTCACAGGCAGCAGCTTTGACCATCTGTGCCACAATGCCAGTCCCCATGAAATGTACTTCTGCAGAAATGACATTCTTTCCTGGTTAAATGGAGATGATGAGCCTAGGCTGTGTCTCCATCATCTTTGAAACTACTGAACACCAAGAAATGCTTTTACCAAACTTTAAGGTTTGCCTTTATTACATTCTTCTCTGTCCCCTAAGGAATAAAAGATGTGACGGCATTATAAAAAATTTGGACTAAATTTGTAGGTTCAGGTATTGCCTCTGTTGCTATGTGACTTTGGACAAATCTCTTAACCTCTCTGAGCCTTAGCCTTTTGCATTAATTATTTTTGGAGGAACTACCTACATTTGATGTTCACACTTGTGACTTTTCCAATCAACCTTTGCATGTAATAGAGCTTGGTCAAATGTGACCTGATGCACAAGTGCCATCTATTGTTTCCCATTCAAAGAAGGTGAAAAAAAACCCCAGTAGTCCCTTTTCTCCCTGCCTCTCTTTCTCCTCTCTCACTCCTTCCCTCCCTTCATTCTTTTGTCTTCTGAACTTCTGGAGTGTGTCGTAGAAACAAAAAAGTAGGGAAACAAATAGTTTAAAATCAAAGATGTTCTATTACGGAAGGGCAAAAAATAAAAGATTCAAAGTGCTTCAGCACTCAAAGAAGCAGACATTTGTAATAACCCCAGGCAAACTGTGCCCTCTGAGGAGGCTGGATTCTAGGAGAGCAGTCTTGTCAAAGAGAAGAAACAAAGGCTTTTCAAGTACTCCGGAATTGCTTGGAGATTGGGATACTACCCTGGCAAAGTTATTAAAGTTGATTCTTGCAAACTATTCCAAAAGGCCACCTAAGGACGTCTGGCTACCTGCCCTAAGTTTCCCTCATTTTTAAGAACGTAGTTTGTAAACGGCTACTACTAATAATGGCTACATGTGTGTTTATATCGGTGACTTAGAGGAATAACTATCTTGATAGATGGTTAAGGATGGAGTTTTAAAATGTTGGTTCATAGGAAGCACACACATTTGCTTGCCACATTTAAACTGTGTGTTATAATATGTAATACTTTTCCCTCCTCTGGGTTTACTTTCAGGATATTGACCAATTGGATAGCTATTCCATATTTTCAATGTCATTAACAAAGAACTTCTAACAGATGCTTGTATCATTCATTGTGAATGTCATTTTAGTGTTTGTTTTCTGCTTGTTGTTTTAAGTATACTTAAAAATAGGTAGGTCAATGTATTAGTAATTAAAATATGATGTAACTGACCATGAGGAAAAGTGTGTATGGAGACCAGCACCTTCAAAAACTTCATTATAGCAGGAAATGTGCTGGGAAACGTTTGCTTGGGAAAGTGGTGGCTTATAGATAACATCTGATTTCATGTTTGTGCCAAGTGTGTTTTCTTTTCTTTTTCTTTTTGTAGTCAGCCACAATAGTGACATGTATGCACCCTTTTTGAATACAAATGCTGTTTAATTTATGTGGTAAACACCTAGAATTTTGGAGATTAGCATTTTAATCAAGTCTAGTCTCAGTATTTTCTGCCTCCTCAGCTCCTTTTTTTTTTTTTTTTCTGTCAAAAAAAGTTCAAATTTTGGAAATGACAGCCAGTGTCCTTTCATGGAGAATCAAGGTCCCAGAGTGAGTCGTGAAAGCTGCCACTGTGAGTTGTAACCTGTCCTAAATCTCATGCTGGAGCAATTATCCAAGAAACAGAGCCATCCATTCAGCAAATTGTTATTGAAGGGCCAGCCACACAGAAGCAGGCAGAGAGGGGGTGGGGTGGACATGTGTCTGGCCATGACATTACAGCACCAGTAAACTAGATGTTTTTCCTCGTGTAAAATTTTCTTTCCCCTTTTTTTGTGTAACTTTCCTCATGGCAGGCCCGGGAGCTTTGAGGTTCGGTGTGCATCCTGCATCTGAGGACCTCTTCGCTCGCGGACAATGCATTCAGTTCTCACGGTGGAGATTAAAGTCGCCGAGATACAAGAAACGTTTTTCGCGCCCGAGTTCAGCCTGGAGCCAAGCGGGGGCCTTGGGGGCGGCGGCTGCCGGCGGGGAGCCAGGCCCGGGCTGCGTCCCGCGCAGCCATTGGCGGGCGCCGCCGCGCGCTGCACTGAGCATGTTCGCGCCCCGCCGGCTCCGGGCCGCAGCCGCAGCCGCAGCCGCAGCGAAGGCAGCCGCGGGAGCCGCCGCGCATTATCAAAGCGGCGGCAGATGCGAGCGGGACCAGCTGGTCGCACGTCAGCTTCTCCTCCCAGCAGCTCGCCCCGCTGCCTGACTTACCCTGGAGAGTCCCCCGGCCCGGACTCGGGGCTGAGGAGGGCCGGCATGGCCTGAGTGCGCGGGGCGCGGCGGCGCAGCGGCGGGATTGCACCATGGGGAACCAGGAGGGGAAGCTGAAGAGGAGCGCAGGTGATGCCGCGCACGAAGGCGGCGGCGGCGGCGGCGGCGCCGAGGGTGCTGTGGGGCCCAGGGATGTGGAGGCCACAGAAGGGCAGTGGGGGCAAGAAGGCGCTGGGCAAGCACAGCAAGGGGGGAGGGGGCGGCGGCGGGGAGCCCGGCAAGAAGAAGAGCAAGTCGGACTCCAGAGCCTCGGTGTTTTCCAACCTGCGGATCAGGAAGAACCTGTCCAAGGGGAAGGGCGCCGGGACTTCTAGGCCCTGCAGACCGGGGAGCTGGACAGAGCGCGCTCCCTGGTCCCCAAGACTCCAGACCTCAGCCTCTCGGCGGACGAGGCGGGCCTCTCGGATACGGAATGTGCGGACCCCTTTGGGGCGCCTCGCCCGGGGGATCATGGTCCTGCCGAGGCTGCGGTGGCGGTTGGGGCAGTTGCTGAGGATTTGGAACCCGCGGCGGGGGCGCAGGATGGACAAAGGACCAGTTCGGGCTCGGCTACGGACATCTACAGCTTTCTCTCGGCCACGGAGCAGGATGATATGCCCTCGGATATTGAGCAGGCGATACGCCTGCAGCAGCTGCTCCAGGGCTTCTAGGAGTCTGCAGCGCCCCCCACTGAAGCTCGCCCTCAACCAGGGGCCTTCCTGGGCCTGGACCGGTTCCTGCTGGAGCCGAGCCCCGGGGCTGGGGAGGCCCCAGGTAGTCCCGACACAGAACAGGCGCTGTCTGCGCGCTCGGATCTGCCTGGGAGCTTGACCGCCGAGCCCGCCGTGCCTGAGCAGCCACCATCTCCTGGCGCCCTCTTCGCCTCGGAGGCACTCAGCCTCCCGGAGGCCCAGCCCCCGGCCGCAGACTCGCCCTCATCCACGGCCTTCGCGTTTCCCGAGGCTGGGCCGGGGGAGGGCGCAGCTGGAAGCCCCGCGCGAGGGACTGGTGACACGGACGAGGAGGCCGAGGAGGAGGCTTTTGAGGATGCCCCCCGAGGCTCTCCAGCGGAAGACTGGGCCCCAGAGAGGGGAGAGGCCCGGCCGAAGTTGGGGGTTGAGCCCGAGGAGCTGGCGCGAGAGCCTGGAGCCCCCGCAGCCTCCTCCCTGCCCGGCAGCCCCTCGCCCAGTCCGCGCTGCTTCAAGCCCTACCCGCTCATCACTCTCTGCTACATCAAGTCCACCACCCGGTAGCTCAGCTCGCCCAATCACTCCCCATCTCAGTCCCCCAGCCAGAGCCCCAGGATCAAGAGGCGGCTGGAGTCCTCCCTGAGCCGGGGACCCTGAACTGCCCTGGCCTCGGCAGCCGCCCCGGCTAAGAAGCACCGGACGGACGGCGGCCTCGTGGGCGGCCTCAGCCGCTCCGCGGACTGGACAGCGGAGGTGGGCACCCGCGCGCCGCGGGCGGGAGGCTCCGCGCACCTGCTGGAGCGCAGGGCAGCCACTGAAGGCGGTGGTAGGGTGTCCCCAGCGTTGGCCGCCAAAGCGTCTGGGTCGTCCACGGCTGCGGAGGGCTTCCAGAACGTATTCACAGGTGAGCGCGCCCTGCCTCTGGCTCTGGCTGGCACATCGCCTGCCAATCAGGGCTTTCCCCTGCCGCCCGCCCTACCCGGGATCTAAAAGGTCGTGATCTGCTAATGGCCTGTTTCTTCCCAGGGAATCTTTTCCTCCCAGCTCACTCCCTAGGTGAAATGGCTTTGATGCACTTGTTGGTTTTCTGTTTTCTGACAAGTTCTGAAAAGGAACCGCTTAGTTGTGCCTGTCCAAATCACCCCAAAGGGCTACTCTGCTTCTTTCACCTCCAGGATACATGCTGTTCTTAGCTTCATGCCAGGGAGAGAAATGATTCATTCATTCATTCATTCATTCATATTCTCTCTCTCTGTCTCTCTCTCGCCTTGTTAGTTAAACCGCCATCCTGCACTTTGCTTCCTCATCCTCCCAAGCACTAGAAGGAACAAACTTGTTTATGGTCCTTTCACAAGTGTCCTTATTGGTAGCACAAACTGTTCCAGACTGTCTAAAGGTGGTTTCTGACTGCTCTGGTTTCCATGGATATTAGTCATGAGTTTATGTATCTATGCAATACGTGGTTTCTATCTTGCAGCCGTCAGGTGCTGTGAAGTGGTCATTGGTATTTGCTGATGTAAGCCAATACTATTAGAAAATTAGTTAACGACAGAATGATTAGGGGTGATTTCCTTTGGTTTCATGGTCCAGGCAGGACAGGCTGTAGCTTGGAAATAAAGAGGAGCAGGCCAAGCCCACATCTGGTGGAACAGGTACCTCTCCTGCTTGACATTTGTTATAGACTCACACCCAGGGCTGCAGAAAGCACAGGGAAAGGGTCAGTTTATGTGCTAAGTGATAAGAAGCAGGGTGGGTTTATCCATTCTTCTAAGTGTAATTCCAGGTTCCCAGGTCTTACCTTTAGAGTCCATAGGTACAGGGCTGGTTTCATGTTGACTTAATCTGTACTCTTAGTTATGAAATGAAACCAAGAGTGTTAGAATTCAATGACTAGGAGAAATATGAATGTTATTTGAATGTTGATAGGTTTGTGATAAATTTGTGAATGTAAAATTTTCAGATGCAACTTGAAAATGTTAAAATCTAATAAACAGGTTATTGATAAAATATTAGATGAAATTTCTCAGTGAGGACAACTATTTCTTATTTGACTAAATGCTGTTAATTTTGTGGTAGCTACTTTTATTGACTGCATTTTTATGAATTATCTTTTCCATTTATAAAATGTTACATTTAATATTAACCTCTATGTTCATTTTACATGCTCTTTTTTTGCTTCCTTTCATGTCCCATCTTTATTGTATAGTTTGTAGCCTTATCTCCACTAGATATATTATTTAAAAAAACCAGAAAGCAAAGCAACACAAATTTAAAGCATTTTTAAATGGAAGAACAGAAAGTGTTTGAGGTAATTTTTTTGAATTTAATATTAGTGATAAGTCATGTATTTTTTCCCTTAGCTAGCGATATAATCATTCGTTAATTTTTTTTTAATTTTTTGACAGGCAGAGTGGACAGTGAGAGAGAGAGACAGAGAGAAAGGTCTTCCTTTGCCGTTGGTTCACCCTCCAATGGCCGCCATGGCTGGCGCGCTGCGGCCGGCGCACCGCGCTGATCCGATGACAGGAGCCAGGAGCCAGGTTAATTTTTTAAAAAATAATTCACCATGATTGAGATGATCAATCATTAGCATTAATGACTACTATCTGTAGTAACATACAACTTTTAAAATGTATTCATTTAGTTTATTTAGCAAATGCACACACACATATACTCATATATGCATATATTCACATCTGCATATACATATGCATATATACATGTATCCTAGGCAGCCATAGTGAACACGCTATATTGTATGTGATACACAGTTCATTAAGTCATAGTTCTGCCTTCCCAACGCTCATTGGCAAAGGGAAGAAAAGACATGAAATAAGAACAGTGCATGGGAATATATTTATATAGATATGCAGAATGTGCTAGGAACATCAAGGATGCATTAACATTTCTCCTTGTCAGGGCAAGAGGACTTGCCTGGATGATTGAACAGAGTCCTGAAAGGGCCTAGGATCCTAAAGAGCTTGAAGTTTTGTTTTCTTTATTAAAAAAAGTGTGTTCCTGAATCTTCCCTTTCCAGATTTGAAATCTGGGACTCTGGAAGGAGTCCTGTTCAAGAATCTCCTCTTTATTGACCTCTTAAGGCAGCCTGCTTTTACTGTTGAGGAAAATTGCGGAGTTAGTTATTTTAATATGGGTATCACCTACTTTGTATTTGATGATTAGATAAAAATGGTTAGTGACCAGCAGATATCTTTTCATTTTTTAGGATTTATTTATTTATTTGAAAGGCAGAGTTACAGAGGCAGAGAGAGAGAGAGACTCCTCCATTTGCTGTTTCACTCCCCAAATGGCTGCAATAGCCAGGGCTGGGCCAGGCTGAAGCCAGGAGCCAGGAGCTTCATCTCGGTCTCCCACATGGGTGCAGGGGCCCAAGTATTTGGGCCATCCTCTACTATTTTCCCAGGTACATTAACAGGGAGTTGGATCTGAAGTGGACAGCAGGGACTTGAATTGGCGCCCATATGGCATGTAGGCACCGCAGGCAGTGGCTTTAGCCACTATGCCACAGCGCCGGCCCCACCAGATACCTTTTTTATGTAGCAGTTTTCATTTTTTTAAAATATTTTATTTATTTGAGAGGTAGAGTTACAGAGAGAGAGGGAGAGACAGAGAAACGTCTTCCACTGCTTCACTCCCCAAATGGCCGCAGCAGCCAGATTGGAGCCAGGAGCCAGGAACTTCTTCCAGTCTCCCACGCTGGTGCAGGGGCCCAAGCGCAAGCACTTGGGTCATCTTCCACTGTTTTCCCAGGCCAGAAGCATAGAGCTGGATTGGAAGAGGAGCAGCGGGGACTTGAACTGGTGTTCATATGGGATGCTGGGGCCACAGGCATAGGCCTAGCAGCTTAGCAGCGCCAGCCCCAAATCTTGCGTATGTTAACTTGCCCATTCAGTGACATTCAGAAGAGAAGAATCCGTAGGTTTAACCTAATCTTGTAACTGGTGAGAAATGAAGGTAGAGAAAAGGAGAAAGAACTTTCTCAAGGACACCCTGTGATTCATTCAGAAGCAGAGCCAGAAATAGAAGCTGAGTCTACTGATTGCTAGTCTGAATGTCTTATTACTCATGTTTGGATGTTCAATGCTGTAAGACACTGTCTTAAGGAAAAGCTATTTTTGAGTTAAAGCCTTCACTTAAAAGATTTTCCAGCTTCTGTTTTTCATAGGTGTGCTGTTTTAATGGTTGAACATCTGGCTCTCCTTTGGTTGGATAAGGCAGATTTTCCCCAGGAGCTCTCATAGAAGCTCTTCTTGTGGTGGTAGAGTGACTCCAGGTAGACAAAGGTGTCAGTTTCTCAGTTGTTAACTTTTTTGTGTGTGTGTGTGTGTGTGTGTGTGTGTTTAAACATGCTTTGCAGTTAACGTCATGGGTGTCTTGGAAATTACAGGAGGCTTGGGGAGTCCTCTCACTGGCCTTCGGGAAATTGTGTTTGACCTTCATCTTGCATGTATTTGGATCAGTTCATTGCCAGCTGCCTTTGTTGAAGCAGGTGATCATTATATCTATAAGCATCTTTTCTTTTTACGCTTTAGAATGAGGGTTGCCAGCTCTGCAGGAAGGAACAGATGTTTCTGTGCTTTTTACTGCTTCCAAGTGGCAGGGAGAAAATTCAAGTGAAAAGTGATTTCTATGGCATATGGTTGTGTCTCTTTGGTAGATATAAAAACATTTTGAAATGAAGGAGACCAAAACTTTATCTTGTTCTAGTTGTTAAGAAACTGGTGATGTTTTAGGCTGTTGCATTTAAGTATTTTAGAGTTAATGTGTTTGAAATACATCTTCTACAATGTTCAGTAGAAAAATTTCCTTCTGAAATCTGAGAGGTTCCTTTACCCATTATGCGAACAGAAGCTTGATACAGAGTTTTGCAATTAAAGCTTAGACTTCAAACGTGTTAAATTTGTGGTGCTAAGTCGTCTTTCCAAAATCTATTATCTGCTTTTCTCTCTCTTTTTTTAAATGCATGAAATGAAAATTTAATGTGTTTTGAAGGTCTTAATGTTGTCTTCAAGCACATCATTTTCCAATTCATGAAAACATCAGTGATGCCCCTCCATAGCTATTGAAGTGTGCGGCCTGGTGGTCTCAGTCGATTTCTGAGTTTTTGTGTCTATATAATTTTGTGTTTGGCTCTTTGCTTTTAGTCATTTATTCTTTGAGCTATCTGTAGTTCCTCCCCTGCCCCAATTCCATATAATTAGATTTTTCTGATCAATTTGTTGTTGGCTTTTAAATCCCGTAATTATGATTCTAGCTATACTTATTACATGTTTACTAAATTCCAGGCTATATGTTGGTAACTACATAATTATCTCTAATCCTCACAATAGTCTTAATGTATAGCTGTCTATAAGAGAAAAGGATTGATGGGGATGCTTTTATTTTCCCTAAATACTACCTCAATGGGTTCTAAATTTTTAGGTTGAATTTGGCAGTATAAACTGCGAATGGGAATTCTGGTTTTTTTGTTTTTGTTTTTTAAAGATTTATTTATTTGAAAGTCAGAGTTACACAGAGAGAGGAGAGAGAGAGAGAGGGAGAGAGAGGTCTTCCATTCGATGGTTCACTCTCCAAATGGCTGCAACGGCCGGAGCTGTGCCGATCTGAAGCCAGGAGCCAGGAGCTTCTTCCAGGTCAACCACGTGGGTGCAGGGGCCTAAGGACCTGGGCCATCTTGTACTGCTTTCCCAGGCCATAGCAGAGAGCTGGATCGGAAGTGGAGCAGCTGGGTCTGGAACCGGCACCCATATGGGATGCTGGTGCTTCAGGCCAGGGCGTTAACCCGCTGTGCCACAGCGCAGGCCCCTAGGAATTCTGTTTTTAATCATTTTAAAGGTCTTAATGTTGTCTTCATGAACATCATTTTGGTCTGAAACATTCTTT